TCCAACAAGCGGGATTGGCCTAGGGGAATTTTTAGTGGGGTTTTAAGAGTAATTTTAATTGACATAGGCCACAGTAAATATTTCTTTTTAATTAGGTTTTAAACTGGGTATTTTTATTGTTGTATCTGTTTTATAAGGCTGTCAGCCGCCCTGAGTCCGTAAGGAGAAGGGCGGGATACAAATTAAATAAATAAATAAAATAAATAAATAAATAAAAGTATACTCCTTATAAATTGACGGATAGAATCCCGAATCTCTTAAGAAAACAGCAACACTTCAGTTACATTTCATCACATTATTTTGCATAGATATCATATGCTGTATGCCATGTTTGACTTTAATAAGCTTGCCTTTTAGTGGTCCAAATATTGTCTTGAAAATGAAATATTCAGAAAAACACATGGGAAAGTACACCAGCAGTAAAGGCTGATATATCTATACCATAGGACATAGTTTTGAGAATTCTGTTATCTGTTACTATATTTATATATTGTAATGTCTGTCACTGATCTTATACCATTCCTAACGGTTTTAGGGTAGGACAAGATCTGTTAGATAGTACAAATTTCATACAATCGAATAGAGAAGAAAAAAATGCAATATATATATATATATATAAATCATACCTCTGTATATGAGCTTAGATGCCAAGTTCATAATACTAGCTTGAAATTTAAAATCACCAAGTCCAATAGCTATAAGAACTTTGCACGTCGCTAGGTAAGTCTTCACACAAAAAACAGAAAACAGAGATGATTTACATTTATAAACCAAAAAAAAAACTTACTACTTTTTGTATACTCCTAAAATGGAACAGCTAAGATTAGGTCATTTTTCAGATGATTTATTAAGAAACAAAAGTTACTAGTTCTCAATAAAGTAGAAAATACTAAAAGTAGTTTGAATGCTTTCATCCAATTTATTTTTAGAATTCCCCGAGTTTCTTAATGTCATACAAGCCCTGGTGAAGGAAAAACAGTATGAATTTTGCAGAGGAAAAAATTTAGTGCGGGTTTTTTGGTATGTCTGTAAATGTATGGATGAAGGTGACCATGTAGATATTGCTTAAGAGGGTTTTCAAATACTTCTTATAAAGTTTCTCATCAAAAGCTTTTGGGCTAACCTAGAGACCATGGGATAGGAGGATCTCTCATTTTATGGATTGCTACCTGGTTAAAATGCAAAAAATAAAGAATAGGAACAAAATAGGAATTTTTCTCAGTGAAGTTAAATAAGGATCTGAGAGAACAAATTCTTAACTTGATCCTAAACAGTCCTAAAAGATCTTGATTTTTAAGTTCATGAACATTGCAACTCCATCAGAGCCTGCAAATGACACCACACTATTCGAAGTGGTGAAAAACAAAGGGAGTCAGAAAACCTCCATAAGATTCTCTTTTAAATGGATGAAGAGTCAACCAAACAGCAAATACGGTTCAATTGAATTAAACATAAAAATATGTACATGGGAGAAAAGACTCTAATTACCCATTTACACAAATGGGGTCTGACGAGTCATAGTGAAGATGTCAATTGAATACAGAAACAGTTCTCGAGTTACAACCATAATGGACTATGCCCATTAGTCAAAAGTCAATATGGTGGTAAAATGGGTCAACACATGACTGAACCTATATTATGACATCTTTTTGCAGCAGTCATTAGATGAATGCGACGGTTGTAAAAATGAACTCTCTGGTCGTTGAGCAAATGCTATCATTATTAAACCAGTGGTTCACTGTAGGTGCGGTTTCATCAAAAAAACAGAAGTAACAGCCATAAAATGCAGTCACATGACTGTGGGACACGGCGTTCATATTGATGAGTGCCCAAAGTGCAATCATGTGACCATGCCCCCCCCCAACTATTGAAATTTCAGATGTGGGTTGAACATCGACTTTTTTGGCCCTGTAGTAACTTTGACTAGTTGCTAAATGACTGGCTGTTAAGTGGAGGGCTACCTGTATAGGAGCCAGGAAATCTGAAGGGACTGAAAATAAATACATCAACAATGTAATTTCTTTATACAAATTTGTGGTACATCAACCCCGAGAGCAATGTGAAGAGTTCTAGTTGTCGTGTTTGAGAAAAGGATTTAAAAGAGCTGGAATGTCAAACCAGAGCAACCAAAACGATCTATACAAAGAAAGAACGAAAGCTTAGAAATCATTAGTTTGAAAAAAAGCAAACCGGGAGGGAACATTATCAAGCTATCTAAAATCAATCCTGACAAATGATTTTGTAAGCTGCAGGAAGTTTGAAACCAGCTTTCCACAGGCACGCATCCCATGTGGCCACATACAGAGAACACAATGTTATCACATTCAATATATGTGCCAGTCACAATTGCCCTGCCTGATTGATTTGACAGGATTGTTAAAGAATGAAATGAAAGGAGGGAGAAGTGAACAGGGTTGAATTCCTGGAAGAAAACTGTAATATAAATATAATGAATAAAATAAAACACTGTGTTTCTGATCTAAATTCTAGGTTGCCTCTAAACTGGGAAAACAAACTATGTTTCGGGTAACTCTAAACTCAATGCAGTTTAGGATGGGGGTGATGTCTAAACTGAGTCAGATAGATTACTCACAATTAGAGCCAGCTTGTCTAGCTCGGTGCAACTTATCTCACAGGATTGTTGTTGTGGGGGGAGGGGAATAGGAAGAAGTATTATGTAAGTTCATGCCTTGGGTTACTTATAAAGTAATAAAGGCAGGATGAAAATGTAATAATATATCACCATATATAACAGACATGTCAAACACAAGGCCCGGGGGCCGGATGCGACCCGCAAAGTGGTTTCATGTGGTGCGCGAAGCCACCCTGGAAACAGTGAGGGAACGGACTCCTCTGCCTTGGCCCTGGCCCAGGCCGGCCGGGAGCCAATGTACAATTTTGTGGTGGCCATCTATGCTGAAACACATTCAGTCTTAGCTCCACAAGGCCTTTTAGAAACAGAGAGGAACCAGCCCCTCCCGCATCGGCCCTGCCCCCTGGGTCATGCTGGGGAGGTGTCACCCTTTGTGAAGAATGAAGAAATGGACCATGCCTTGGCGCTTGCCCCAGTCTCACCCCCTTCTGCCAGAGACCCTCAGATCTGTCCCATTCCTGCCCAGGCCCCCACAGGAACGCTTGACGCAAACGATGTAGAGCTGGCCACGCCCACCCAGTAGGCCACACCCACTCCATCCACACCCACCCAGTAGGCCGCACCCACCCTGGCCACACCCACCCGGCCCTCCGAGGGCAACCGCAATGCTGATGCGGCCCTCAATGAAATTGAGTTTGACACCCCTGATATATAAGGAGCATGCTAAACAGGGAACAAATACACCCACAAACAGAATACCTTAATCACCACTTTACAGATTTCACTGGATGGCTTCAAATAACCCTCTTTGTCCTCTAACAAAAAATGAGGCAGAATGCTGTTTTCTATCCAGGCCCCCGTCCTCTCCAAAGCTGACAGATAATCCTGTTCTTCAGAGACAAACTGTTAAAAGAAAGAAACATATCCAGCTACAATGGAATTGCAGGATTCAAGATTCATTCTACTCAAATGGAAAGCAGGTCTTTGACTTACAATACCTTATATAAAAGATGTATATTTAATCTGCAGTAGAGGCTGAAGGCTCTCACTGCTGTTGCTTCATATAAGCCACAATATGCCGGGCTGCACCCTTGAATATAAGTATCTAGGGCATCCTGCAAAGAAGAAATATTAATGTTTAATATTAAATTAATTTATATGTAGTTAAATATTTAAACTCTTTTTTAACAAAACCACACAATAGATATGTGATTTGAAATATTGGTATCCTTCCTGTTTCGTTCAAATTTGTAAATGTTTCATTTAGTTCAGAATGTTTTATATTGTCTTTTGAAACAGAAATGTCCAATATTTCAATACTTAAAAGTATATAGGGCTGGAATCACATTTGATGGGAGTTGATTTTAATTTTTGATTTTGTACCCACAATAAACAGTAAAAAATGACAATAAAGGTTATCTATCTATTTTGATTTTAACTGCAGTGACCTCAGTATTATGCTTTATATTCTCTAGTTCCCAAATTGCAGTAGAGCTTGACTGTTTTTATAAGCAGCAGGGTGGCTGCACATTTAAATAAACTGGACATTAGCTGCACAGACTACTTTTCTTCCAACAATTGATTTTGTAGGACGTAGCCAGTTCAGTGGCATTGATGCAAATGGCCAATGCACTGGGTTTGCTTTTGAAATGAAGGATTCTGTTCCTTTCCCAAATCCTTGTGCCTCTACATTTTTAAAAAGAGGGGAATGAAGATAATGCCTGAGCCCCATCCAAGAGGGGAAGTGTTCTGCCCATGCAGAGTTTTTCTGTATCTTTCAGTATCATCCGTTTGGCATGTCTATCCACAGCAACTTTATTGTCATCCTAGCAGAAAACAAATTTCACACCACAGACTTGGATATAAATATCCAATCCAATATCCAATCAGTTCAATGTTCAGTAAACAAGCCAATATTAATGCAATGTGGAGTTCTAAGAGAAGCTCATTTTAAAATAGCAATGAAGAAATGTGGATCTTATTTTGAGGTTATTCTCATGGCAGCACATTCCAGTCCCTGCATAAAGACAGGCACTATACCGGAGCCAGCAGTATACAAGTGCGCATAGATATGAGATATCCTTTGGGATCTCTACTCTACAGGGCCAGGTAATGTTATCTAAATCAGAATTGCCCCATATTGACATACATACTAGGCACAGGTAGACAGCTCTTTTTATGAAGAACAGTTCCCCTGAGTCAATTGACTGTTTGCTACATTTGTTGGAAGAAACTGCTTAAAACTTTATTAAGCATTTATGGGATGAATACAGATCACCCTCAACTTACAATCATTTGTTTAGGGACAGTTATAAAGGCATAAAGTTATAAAGGCACTGAAAAAAGTGACTTGTGAATGGTCCTCACACTTACAACCATCATAGGTCCCAACAGTCATGTGATCAAATTTGGGGTGCCCGGCAATCAGCAGGTATTTACAATAGTGGCAGCATCCCTGAGCCATGCTTTACCACTTGCAGCCTAGACAGCTTCTGACAAAGTCAATGGAGACAGCCAGATTCACTTAGTGACCACGTGATTTACTTAACGACTGCAGTGATTCACTTAACAGCCATGGCAAAAAAAAGATTGTTAAGACTCACTTAACAGCCACCTTGTTTAGCAATGGAAATTCTGGGCTCAATTCTGGTCATAAGCCGAGGACTACCTATAAAGGACATGCAGGAAGAAATCAATTGCACCTAAAGAAAGCATTATTAGAAGTATTCATTAGATCCGATTATATAATAATGATGGAGCTGACCTTTCCACATTCAAGAACTTTCAGAAGCTGGTTCAGTTTCTCTCTGGAGAGGGACAAAAGGCAGTTTTGGTTCATATAATGAGTCAATAAATATTCTAAATAATCAAGGGCCAATTCCGGTTTGTGCTCATCCATTTCTTGAATTTGTACTTGCTGTTGAGTCATATTAGTCTAAGAACAAGGAATAATGTCCTTTTATTGGTAGGCATGAAACAGAGAACAATAAAACCAATCAACTTCAGAAGCTGAACAAATCTATATAGCAAACCTTTCTCTTCCTTGGCTCAACTGTTATCCAATCACAGATTAATGTAAGGATATGTCCTAATTTGCCCCAGCGAGACAGACAGTCAAGTAGGGTAGAATATTTCATTTCAGCCGCACCATTTTTCATGTTCTTCAGCTCTGAAATCACATCATAACTAGCGACAAGTATAGAAAAGATTAGATTAGATCAAAGAGAAAAATATATCTAAAAAAAAAATCTTTCCACTCTTTCAGCTATAGAACTTCTGTTTTCACTAATCCAACCTATAGAACACTCTTTTCAAAGAAAAGCTTTCGATCTACATTTTCAGCTTTACAAAATAATAAGCCGTACCTGAATGTAGGAATAGCAGTAGGTGGGATGAAAGATGCCAGAATAATTATTGGAGACACACAACGATAATCCTGTGAGAAGTACACAGACAAAAAAAACCCCACTAGAAATCTTTGTTAAGCAGAAGAATTGAGAATACGTCAAATGGTATCCCTGTATTTAAAGCATAACAATAAGCTTTCAGAAGGTAAATCAGCAAGTGTGAGCCTGACACTTATTAAAGCATCTTCTTATACAGAAGCACTTACCCACTAATTTGGGCTGTCTAGACTGTGTCACAAACATAAACTAACAACCCTATTGGAAGTTACATTCAGTTTGGATGAAAATGTTCACAGCTGGATAATTGCTCCTGAAGGCATTTTCATAAAATTGTAGTTATGTGTAAAAAAAGAGCCTACTGATTTTAGCTCCATTAATAATAAAAGCTCTAGGCTGAAACATTACTTATTCTTAAATTAGAATAAGATTGATCAAATGTAGATGAAGATTGCAATTACCTTATCAAATAAGATGCATCTACAATGAGGTATGATAAGAAAAGTGATTTCATAGAACACTGAATTTTTTTCCTAATTCCTGCCCACTGATCAAGAACTTCCCATCTTTTTCCCAGGCTCAAAACTTTGCTTCTCCCCACCCCAATCCCTAATTTGGGCCTAGTCAGAGATTAAGGTTGTGCTAGAAAATCTACAATTCTTATAGTTTAATCCCTTTCGTGGATGACATAAAGCCTTTGCAATGCAAGCCATTATATTGGCAATGTGCAGCTAAGTTAAATTCATGTGTTTAATGACAATGTATGGATTGCTCCAGCTCATGGTAACAAACATTGTGGGATCTGAAACTAGTACAGTAATGTTATTTGATGGTTTGTTCTCAACTGTCAACTGCAGTTGGATAATAGTCATGCAAGGAACAAATTATATCAATTTTATCTGACATTTACCTTAAATATTTTTAAATATTCTGGTAGCACAGAAGCAAATTTTTCAATAATATGATTTTTTGCTTCTTCATTGCAATCAAGTGGTTTCTGAATACTCCTCCAGAGAATTACAATAACTTCAAGCAAGCCAGCCATGGAAGGTATGTCATCAACTGAAAGTACTTTATCTGTTACCTGAAATGTAAAATAGATTATAATTAGAGAAAACTGTTATTCTTAAATAATATGTCTCAAATTAAAGGTTACTTGAAAAATGGAATCATAACTAATATGTGTGTTAAGAAGACTTGAATTACTGACTTCCGGTGGCATGGCCACGCCGATGGAGGCTTTTTCTTAGCCTCCCGCCCGGGACTGCGTCAAAGTCCGCTCAAACAGCGCTCATCAGCTGTTTGGCGGCTCGGAGCTTTCTCTCCGGGAGGAGAGAAAGCGAGTTCGTCTGGATAGGAGTTGAGTTCCCTAGCTCCCCCAGGAGTGATCCTGGGGGAATGAAGGTGTTGAACTCCTCCGGAGTCCAGATTCTTCTCCACAGCTCGGAGTGACTTCGTCCTTCGGAGCAAAGCCAGACGTTGCCGCCACTGCTGCTTATCATAGAAACTTCACATCGTGAGTAAATTTATAAGCAGACAGAACCGATCAGGAGACTTGGATTCTAGCTGAATTAAGACTTTAACTCAGAGAATATACAGGCATCTTCTTTATTTGTTATAAATCAAAGTGAGAAGAAAATGGCTGCGGACGTGCTGTTTCTTTGTATCATAAGGAAAACTTTCACTCTTCTTCCGGTTGTGGATTGATGCATCATAAAGGTTTTTTTTTTAAAGTTTATTGAAAGTTCAGATTCTGCTGTTTTGTGTCTTAAATTATATATAATTATATTTAGAAGAATTTTACAGAATGGCTTCTAAACGTATTGGAGCTTCTGCTTTGCCTAAAACAGCTATTTCTTCTCCAGTTGTGCAAATTCCACAACAGAAACCTAAATCTCTGCCACCTTCGCCTCCCCCGTCTATTACACTTAAAGATTTACAAGATGCTTTAGCACAAGCTTCATTGCAGACAGTAAAACAAGTCAGGATGGAAACGGAGGAGCTTCTTGATAAGAAAAATGAGGAACTTTGTGAGAACATATCACATATTTTTCATGATTTGGCGGTTCATGTAGATCGCATAGAGGGACGGGTGGATGAATTAGCGGAGAAAATGGAAGGAGCGGAGGACAGACTTGAGAAAGTAGAAGAAGGTGTGGAAACTGTTCAGAATGACATTATAATGTCACAATATAGAGAAATGGAGTTTGCCTTGAGGATTAGAGAATTAAAAGAAGACTTACAAGAGAAATTGAGAGAGGAAATAGCTGCAGCTCTGGCTTTAGTTTTGGAGTGCAATCCCGAAGTAATTTTTGGAGAAATTGAAAAAGCTTATAGAGTAAATTCCTGGGTTGCGCGCCAAAGAAAACTACCGAGAGATGTTGTTGTCTATTTTTCTACAAGAGTACGTCGCAATGAAATTATACAGGCTTTCTACCAGCAGAGATTTCAGATTGCTGCTCAAGATATTATTCTTTTAAAAGAAATACCTCCTAAAATTTTAAGAAAAAGGAAGGACTTTGCTTTTTTGGCTCAGGAGTTAAAGAAGCGGCAAATGCCTTTTAGATGGGATATTCCTGTTGGAATTGTGGTAAGTTATGCGGGGACACGTTATAAATTGAACACGATTCAAAAAGCCAAAGATTTTTACTTATCGGTCCTGAAGGCTGACTTACCACCATCACCCCGACTTAAAGCAAAGGAAGATTGGACTGAACAACTATTTGTTGAATTGCCTGAAGCTATGTTGCAGGAGGCTCTCAAGTGAAAAAAGATCCAAAGGAACATAAACGTAAAGAGAAAGAGCAACAAAAAGAACTTATATCTATAACATACTCGCCTACCTCGGAGCCTGTGGGAGGGGCAAGGCCAAAGAGATCTGTGATGATAGATTTACAAGGAATGCTCCATAAGCTTCACAAGCCAAAGGATGGTTAAGTTGATGACGTTGAATGTGAATGGTTTGAACTCACCACAAAAAAGGAAGAAAATATTTTACTATTTGAAACAACATAAAAATGATATTATATGTTTGCAGGAAACCCACATTACTTTGAAAGATCAAAAGTATTTGATTAATTCTAAATTGGGACTTCATTTTACTTCTCCAGCTCTGAAGAAAAAAGCAGGTGTGGTTTTGTATGTTAAGAAAGAATTTCTGCCAAAACTAATAGACTTTGATTCAGAAGGAAGATTTGTACTTATTGAATTGTTATTGAATGGAAAGAAATGTCTCATTGTTGGCTTATATGCACCAAATCAGCAACAGCAGCAAAAACAATTTTAC